GTCAGATCACTGACAGTGATAAGGATATGTGTGAAATACTAAATACCTACTTCCTCTCAGTTTTCACCCAGGAAAATACTAGCGATATTCCTGAAATAATAGATTACGTAGAACAGGATGATAATAAACTATGTACGATAGCGGTAACTAGTGACATGGTCCTCAGACAAATAGAGAAACTAAAACCTAACAAATCCCCAGGTCCTGATGAACTGTTTGCAAGGGTGTTAAAGGAATGTAAAGAGGAACTTAGCATACTTTGGCTAATCTTTTTAACATATCACTACAAACTGGCATAGTGCCTGATAAGTGGAAAATGGCAAAAGTAATACCTATTTACAAGGCAGGTGACAGGTCCTTGGCTTCGAACTATAGACCAATAAGCTTTACCTCCATAGTGAGAAAAATTATGGAATCAATAATTGCCGAAGCAATTCGTAGCCATCTTGACAGGCACAGATTGATTAATGATTCTCAACACGGTTTTACAAAGGGGCGTTCCTGTCTTACGAATTAACTAACTTTTTTTCCTAAGGTGTTTGAGGAGGTATATCGTGGTAATGAATATGATATTGTGTATATGGACTTCAGTAAGGCTTTTGATAGAGTTCCACACCAGAGGCTATTGAGGAAACTTAGGGCACACGGAATAGGAGGAGAAATTTTTTCCTGGGTAGAGGCATGGCTGACAAATAGACAGCAGAGAGTTTGCATAAATGGGGAGAAATCAGAATGGGGGCACGTCACAAGCGGTGTTCCTCAGGGGTCGGTGTTGGGCCCGTTGTTGTTCACAATTTACATAAACGACATAGATGAGGGAATAAATAGCGACATAAGCAAATTTGCTGATGACACCAAAATAGGCCGTCCAATTCATTCTAATGAGGACATTAGAGCACTCCAGGATGATTTGAATAGACTGACGCAATGGTCGGAGAAGTGGCAGATGCAGTTTAATATTGACAAATGCAAAGTTCTAAATGTTGGACAGTTAAATAACCATGCCACATATAAACTAAATAATGTAGATCTTAATACTACTGCTTGCGAAAAGGATTTAGGAGTTCTGGTTATCAGTAATCTAAAACCAAGACAACAGTGCATTAGTGTTCGCAATAAAGCTAACAGAATTCTTGGCTTCATATCTAGAAGTATAAATAATAGAAGTCCTCAGGTTGTTCTTCAACTCTATATATCCTTGGTTAGGCCTCATTTAGACTATGCTGCTCAGTTCTGGTCACCGTATTACAGAATGGATATAAATGCTCTGGAAAACGTACAAAGGAGGATGACAAAGATGATCCCATGTATCAGAAATCTTCCCTATGAGGATAGACTGAGGGCCCTGAATCTGCACTCTGTCGAAAGGTGTAGAATTAGGGGGGATATGATCGAGGTGTATAAATGGAAAACAGGAATAAATAAAGGGGATGTAAATAGTGTGCTGAAAATTTCCAGCCAAGACAGGATTCGCAGCAATGGTTTCAAGTTGGAAAAATTCAGATTCAAGAAGGATATAGGAAAGCACTGGTTTGGTAATAGAGTTGTGGATGAGTGGAACAAGCTCCCGAGTACAGTTATTGAGGCTAAAACGTTGTGTAGTTTTAAAAATAGGTTAGATAAATACATGAGTGGGTGTGGGTGGGTGTGAGTTGGACCTGACTAGCTTTGCTGCTGGGTCTGGTACAGTGCTCCATCCTTGAGTGGGGATGACCAGACTGGGTGGGTCATTGGGATAATACGTGGGGTGGGTCATTGGTCTAATCCGTGGGGGGACATGGACCTGCTCCGCGTGGGTCAGTAGGCCTGTTGTAGTGTTCCTTCTTTCTTATGTTCTTATATGAGCGGAGAAGCAGCTTATAAACCGTATGGCAGGAGAGGTCCAGCAGTCGTAGGTGGTGTCACATTTGTTCAATGTGGAAGTAGGTCGTGCCCAAGGGTTAGGCAAGCGAAGAATTCCCAAGTATTAAGATCCCAAGAAGTTGCAGTGTCTGACAGGATTGTAGATGAATGGTTCAAAGAACCGACACGTTGTTAAATTAGACACATGTGCAACTCTTGGTATCTTTATTGAGGAAACGTTTCGCCACACAGTGGCTCCATCAGTCCATACAAAGGATAAACTTGAAGAACAGGAGGAGAATGAGGTAATCAGTCCCTCAGCCTTGAGTCGATATGGTCAGTCCATCAATCTTGAATAGAATACGGCATATGAGCGGAGAAGCAGCTTATAAACCGTATGGCAGGAGAGGTGCAGCAGTCGTAGGTGGTGTCACATTTGTTCAATGTGGAAGTAGGTCGTGCCCAATGGTTAGGCAAGCAAAGAATTCCCAAGTATTAAGATCCCAAGAAGTTGCAGTGTCTGACAGGATTGTAGATGAAGCCACTGTGTGGCGAAACGTTTCCTCAATAAAGATACCCAAGAGTTGCACATGTGTCTAATTTAACAACATTTCTTATGGGGAAAATTAATTTGGATAACCACAGAATCGGTTCAAGACAAGCTCTCTGGAACGGATTAATATAGTTAACTGAGGGTCCACTGTATGTGGAGACAAAAAACGTTATCTATGGAGGCAAAGAAGGGAATGTATGAAAGTATAGTGGCACCAACTCTCTTATATGGGTGTGAAGCTTGGGCTGTAAATGCTGCAGCAAGGAGGTAGCTGGAGGCAGTGGAGATGTCCTGTCTAAGGGCAATGTGTGGTGCAAATATTATGCAGAAAATTCGGAGTGTGGAAATTAGGAGAAGGTGTGGAGTTAATAAAAGTATTAGTCAGAGGGCTGAAGAGAGGTTGTTGAGGTGGTTTAGTCATTTAGAGAGAATGGGTCAAAGTAGAATGACATGGAGAGCATATAAATCTGTAGGGGAAGGAAGGCGGGGTAGGGGTCGTCCTCGAAAAGGTTGGAGGAGGGAGAGGGTAAAGGAGGTTTTGTGGGTGAGGGGCTTGGACTTCCAGTAAGCATGCGTGAGCATGTTAGATAGGAGTGAATGGAGACAAATGGTTTTTGGGACCTGACAAGCTGTTGGAGTGTGAGCAGGGTAAGTAAGTATATTCAGATATACACAAATACAGTTATAGATTATCATACATAGCAACATATGTGTAAATATTTAGTGAAGGGATTCAGGGAATCCCTGCCTCGGTGGGATACGGTCGACTTGTTGGAAAAAAAGAAAAAATTCAGGGAAACCAGTTATTTTTATATAGCCAGACTTGAATAATGGAAATGGGAAGTACAATGCCTGCACTTTAAAGGAGGGATTTGAGATATTGGCAGTTTGGAGGGATATGTTATATATCTTTATATATGCTTCTAAACTGTTATATCTGGGTGCCTCTGCAAAAACAGTGATTATGTATGAGTGAGATGAAAGTGTTGAATGATGATGAAAGTATTTTTTTTTTTTTTTTTGAGGGGGGATTTTCTTTCTTTTTGGGTCACCCTGCCTCGGTGGGAGACGGCCAACTTGTTGAAAAAAAAAAATTACATATTGTTCAGCAGTGCTGCAAGGAAGGCAGAAAACATACTTATATGTAATGCAATAAGAGACAGAGTAAAACTGAGTATGCTCACTGCCACTGGTTCACAGACTCATAGAAGAGAAGGAGCAGTATGTATAAACAGCCAGAGCTAGTGAGAGACTAAACCTTTCCCTTCAAAGAAGGGAAGGGTTATCTTAATTTATTGGATAGAAAAGCCCTTCGCTGGCATTAAGGAACCCCTCATGAAGGGCATATTATGTACAGCATACAGTGGAACCTCGGTACTCGAACAGCTCCATACTCAAACAATTCGGTACTTGAGCGCTTTGTTCGGTAAAAAAATCACTTATTAGTCAACTGTTTGCTCGGCACTCGGCCAAACAAACTTGACCTGCCAGAACATGTGCATCAATCTTTCCACAGCTGTCGCTAAGTCCAAAATTCTGCTGAATTTCAATGTAAACTATTTCGCATTTCTTCGCATTTTTGGGTGATTTTTTTATATTATTTGTATAAATAAGTCACCATGGTGTCCTAAGAAGATTAGTGATAACAGCCAACCAAAAGGAAAATTGGTTAGTGTGTGTTTGTCCTGATGTAAACACCACCTCCACCTCTCCATATAATATGCCTTTTGTTATTAATTTCAGCATCTTTATCTATCATGTTTCTGATATCAAGTTGGAATAATGTGATAGATAGCATAATTACACAACACTGTATTCGCGCTACCACTAGTATCCGGCTATCACGGCGACTCATTAGATACTGAATGCTTCTTCTGCTAGCCCCTCCCTCTCTCTCTCTTATAGCTCCTCCCACTTCGGGCCCCTCTTATATTATGCTTGCTTTCCATTTTGAAATTTTATTCACACAAAAAGCAGAAGATTTACTGTTATGCAGACTACTGCAGTATTGAAAAAATTATAAAAATAATATCAGCGCTTTTGTGAAAGCATATTAGACTCACCAGTTGACGTGTATTGGACGCATGACGTGATTTGTTTACTCTCGAACATCAGCAAAAATTGAACATTTCCGCTACTTTCAAGCTATTTTTGGTCCTAAAACCAATCAAAATCATTTTTAATTCTGTAATATATCTTCCATGCTCTCAAGTGACACTAAGAAGTAGTGAATACAACCATAAAAACCACATGAAAATACACCACAAAATTGATGTTTTAAACCAAAAACACAGCCACAGTTTTCTCATTATGCACTGCATGCAGCAGGATTTTTTTTTATATGATGCACACAACATAAATCCATTCTTTTATCTCTAGGCCCAAATTTATTGCTCATAGCTTATCTCGGAGAGTTGAGCTCTTGGCGCAGAGCTACGGCACTGACACTGGCTTAAAAGCCATAGAACTATGGTTGTATCCTGGAACTTAACCCACCATATACTAATTGGGGCCTCCCTTTACCAATACTTTTTATCAAGGCCTGAAAGTGTCTGGTTTAATCAAGCAAAAGAATAACATTAAAAATAGACAGTTTCAGACTTACCCAGGTTCCCAGACCAGCATTTAGCTGCCTCAAAATCTGGGGTATGAAGTATGAAGCTTTGGGTGTTAGGATCATATCGAGCCTCTGTCCTCATGCCACGGGAATTAGTCCCATGAGATATTTCTGTTAGGCAGAAACATCCACCAATCTGTAAGGTGAAATCATTTGTGAAGCTCAAGCAGACAGCAAATATAAACAGTATAAACTGTAAAAGTAATACTATTTTCTTAAAATATTTTAATGTGACATCTGATATGAGGAAATGAAAGTGTTATACTGCTGTATGTTGTCTGAGATTGCTAATGATATAATTGATTCATTGTTTTCACAAAAAGCATTTTTGAATATATGAATATATGTTTTGTCTTATACAAATCTGATTCACTTATAATTAATAATCTACTGTACAACTATGAAATAATTACTATCCTACTGTACAACTATGATATAATCCTTAGTGTTAAGTAGTCTGTAAGCCAATAATGTTAAGTTGGCCCATAATGCATAGGCATAATAGAGGTTCTCTTAGCATTGCAACCCACTAGTGTATATACAAAATCTCAATGTACTGTTTGCAAAGACATAAAATAAATAAATAAATAAATAAATGATATGTCATATAAGTTAATGAAAGTGCTGTGCTATATACAGTAGCTTTCTTCACCAGAAGTGAGACCAAACTAGAATGGATTATTCAATCTGCCAACACTAAAATAAGATGACCATTTTTCAGTGAAGTCAGTGATCATTGATATTCAGCTCTGAAGATTTACCAACAACAGTATAAATACTGTTAATTTTTTTTTTCAACATGTCAGTCGCCTCCACTGAGGCAGGGTGACCCCCCCCAAAAAAAAAGAAAATACCCAAAAAGAAAAATGCTTTCATCATTCAACAATTTCACCTCACTCATACATAATCACTGTCTTTGCAGAGGCGCTCAGATATGACAGTTCTGAAGTCCCTCCAAACTGCCAATATCCCAAATCCCTCCTTTAAAGTGCAGGCATTGTGCTTCCCATTTCCAGGACTCAAGTCCGGCTAATCAGTTTCCCTGAATCCCTTCACAAAATATTACCCTTCTCACACTCCAACAGCTCGTCAGGTCCCAAAAACCATTCGTCTCCATTCACTCCTATCTAACACACTCATGCATACTTGCTGGAAATCCAAGCCCCTCACCCACAAAACCTCCTGTACCCCCTCCCTCCAACCTTTTCAAGGATGACCCCTACCCTGCCTTCCTTCCTCTACAGATTCACATGCTCTCCAAGTCATTCTACTTTGATCCTTCTCTCTAAATGACCAAACCACCTCAACAACCCCTCTTCAGCCCTCTGACTAATACTTTTAGTAACTCCACACCTCCTGATTTCCACACTCCGAATTCTCTGCATAATATTTACACCACACATTCCCTTTAGACAGGACACCTCCACTGCCTCCAGCTGCCTCCTCGCTGCAGCATTTGCAACCCTAGCTTCACACCCATATTGGTGCCACTATACTACTACTTTCATACATTCCCTTCTTTGCCTCTATGGATAACGTTTTTTGTCTCCACTGATACCTCAACGCACCACTCACTTTTTTCCCTTCATCAATTCTATGGTTAAACCATCCAATGACAAATCAACTCCCAAATATCTGAAAACATTTACTTCTTCCATACTCCCTCTCTCCAATGTGATATCCAATTTTTCTTTATCTAAATTGTTTGATACCCTCATCACCTTACTCTTTTCCATGCTCACTTTCAACCTTTACACACCCTCTCAAACTCGTCCACTAACCTTTGCAGCTTTTCTTTAGAATCTTCCACAAACACAATATCATCAGCAAAAAGTAACTGTGTCAACTCCTATTTTGTATTTGATTCCTCATAATTTAATCCCACCCCTCTCCCCAAGACCCTAGCATTTACTTCTTTTACAATCCCTATCTATTAAACAACCATGGTGACATTACATTTCCCTGTCTAATACCTACTTTTACCAGAAAGTAATCTCCCTCTCTCCTACACACCCTAACCTGAGCCTCACTATCCTCATAAAAACTCTTTACAGCATTTAGTAACTTACTACATATTACATACACTTGCAACATCTGCCGCATTGCTCCCCTATCCACTCCATCATATTCTTTTTCTAAATCCATACATGAAATGAAAACTTCACTGCCTTTATCTAAATACTACTGTACTGTTCACACATATGCTTTAAAGTAAACACTTTACACATCCCCTACACCCACTCTAAAGCCTCCTTGCTTATCTGCAATCCTACTCTCTGTCTTACCTCTAATTCTTTAATATCTATAATATATAAACACTTTACCTGGTAAACTTAGTAAACTACTACGTCTTTCACCAAATCGGCCGTATCCCACCGAGGCAGGGTGGCAGAAAAAGAAAAAGAAAAGTTTCTCTATTTAAATTTAGTAATTTATACAGGAGAAGGGGATACTAGCCCCTTGCTCCCAGCATTTTAGTTGCCTCTTACAACACGCATGGCTTACGGAGGACTCAGTAAATTTATTCCCCTATAATTTTTAGTCTCTTTTGTCCCCCTTAACTTTATATAAAGGAACTATACATTCTCTCTGCCAATCCCTTGGTACTTTCCCTCTTCCATACATATATTAAATAAAAATACCAAGCACTCCAACACTACATCCCCCTTTGCTTTTAACATTTCTGTCACGACCCCATCAGTTCCAGCGGCTTTACCCCCTTTCATTCTGTGTAATGCCTCACACACCTCCCCCCACACTCACTCCTGAAAGATGTTATACCTCCTTGGCCAATGCATAAAATTACTGCCTCCCTTTCTTCATTGACATTTAAAAGTTCCTCAAAATATTCCCACCATCTACCCAATACCTCCAGTTCCCCATCAACTAACTCGCCTACTCTGTTTTTAACCCTTTGACTGTCGCAACCCCAAATCTTGAAGTGTCTCTTGGTGTCGAAGAATATTCAAAAAAGAAAATAATATTTTTTCTTATGAAAATGTTAAGATAAATTTTCTAATTGTTTTAACCCCCAAAACAAATTTTTGCAATCAGTACTTATGGAGATGTAGAGCAGTAAAGTTGGCAGAAAATGAGCTGCGTATGGCAAGCTGCAAATGCCACTCACCCGGTAAACTTTGGTTTACTTTCATTCCAAGGTTTCTTGTCTTTTTCACTATTTTATTTATTCACATAACTTATGTGCCCTGTGAGTCCAAAGTAAGGTTCAATGTACATATATACACTCATTGTATACAACATAATAAGCACACACACATAATTATTGTTTACAAAACTTGCTTACACAAACAATACAAAAATTTTTTTATTGCTATTGTTCTATAATATATATACAAATTTACAGTCACTGGACATGTTCCTAGATGTTCTGCAGCTTGTGGAACTCTTTGAAACATGGTTTCATACACAATGGTGTTTTACACTCCTCACACATAAAACAAGTGTCTGCATTTTTGTGGGCTTTTTTTTTTCTGTGTACAGACAAAACACCTTGTCTGAGCAGTTTTCTTCATAGTAGTAGCAGACAGTTTTGTTAGGTAGTTATCCTAGGTAAATGTGTCATCATTCCTTCCTACCTACCTACCTTTCTTTCTTCATTCTTTCTTTCTTTCTTCATTCTTTTATTCCTTCCTTCTGGATTCTATAATATATATACACATATATAGTTACTGAACATTTTCATTGTGTTGTGTGAGTATGTGGACTTCTAAATGTGCTGAATCAGGGTCCGGCAGCTGTCAAAATGACATATTGTATCATTACTCACTCCCCCTACTGCCTGTCAAAACAATGGGGTCCAATGCTAGCTTCCCCTCCATCCTCCTACCTAATTATCTTTTCTTCTTCTTTCTCTTTTTTTCTTTCTTCTCCTTTCTCCTTCTTTCTATTTCTTTCTCTTTCATTCTCTTTCATTTTCCTTCATTCTCCTATACAGTGGACCCCCGGTTAACGATATTTTTTCACTCCAGAAGTATGTTCAGGTGCCAGTACTGACCGAATTTGTTCCCATAAGAAATATTGTGAAGTAGATTAGTCCATTTCAGACCCCCAAACATACACGTACAAATGCACTTACATAAATACACTTACATAATTGGTTGCATTCGGAGGTAATCATTATGCGGGGGTCCACTGTATTTTCCTTTCTCTTTCTTTCTTTCTTCTGGTATCCTGGGCATTGCTTTTGGTCACAAACTCCTCAAAACCATGAAACTGATCTTCACTGGCACATTCATCTGTGTTAGAGTTATCACTTAGGAAGAGAAGAGTCCCAGATGTGCTGGGGAGTCACATATTTCTTACCGCTAGGCATGCTGAACAAGGACTACTGAAATGGCATTCCCACAATGCACCACTGGCTCCCCGATTTTTTTTTATATGGCACACACTGAGCATGGAGACCCATTCTCTCACATGTGGGCCTACCAGCTTTCTCCTGCTCGATTTGAAGCCGCTAGAATTTTGGCGTATTAATACGTCAAACACATTGGCACTTAAGACATATATATACGTACAACCAAAACAGTCATTCCCTAGGCTTTCTCAACTTGTTTATCTCCAATTCTTTTTATTTTCAGCAAAACTTCTTGACAGTGCCTCTCCCACTCTATCATCTGCTCTCCTTTTGCACTCACACCACTCTCTTCACCTTTCTTTTACTCTCCATATACTTTGCTCTTCTTATAACACTTCTGCTTTGTAAAAACCTCTCATAAGCTACCTTCTCTCTCTTATCACACCCTTTACTTCATCATTCGACCAATCACTCCTCTTTCCTAATGCACCTACCCTCCTATAGCCACAAACTTCTGCCCCATATTCTAATACTGCATTTTTAAAACTATTCCAACTCTCTTCAACCCCCTCTACTATTCATACTTGCACTAGACCACTTTTCTGCCAAATAGTTGCTTATATCTCACCCTAAACTTCCTCCTCCCTTAGTTTAAACACTTTAATATACATCTAATACTGGTAATACATGTATATGTGGTGAAAATTAAGACACACGTGCAACATCTGGTTATCTTTATTGTAGACGTTTCGTCATCCAGTAGCTTTATCGATACAGATTCTAGGACATAATTAGAAGATAGTAGAACTATATACAAAAGA